TCTGGCCTAACAGAATATACAGAATGGCCATAGGACCAGATATCATCGGAACAAACTAGTCTCAAAGTTATGTAGAGGCACACAGATTCTTTCAATCATTCACATGAGTTAACATAGTTAATTTGCGTTTAACAGAGTGCTAATGATAATTATTAGCAATAAGTAAAGTGTATTTTACAGATTGGCCTTAGGCCCAGATATTAACAAAGCAGAGTAATTCCAGAGTCGTATCAATGTACGCAAATTTTCCAATCATTTGTAAATATTAACGTAATTAACTTGCGAAGAACAGAACGTTAATAATAATAATTATTAACGATAGGTAAATATACAATTACAGTACTAGTACTCACTGTGCTGTAGTGGAGCATTAGTTCCTCTTGGGTTGTGACCTACACACATGCACAACTCACAAATTAGTTCCTTTTTCCTTGTTGAATCGTTTTTGACTCGTTTCGCTTCAAATGAGTTTTACGAACATCAAAAAGCATCAAATGCAAATTTCAAAAATATTAGAGGGTCAAGCACGTAAAACGGAGTAGATGAATTTTTGCAGCATGGGCCGTACGTGAGGCTATGAGCCCCGCACGTGCGGCAGTGGTTCCCGCACGTACGGAAATGAAGCCCCGCACGTGCTTTTTTTCCAGTAGCCAAATCCCCAAAGTCCCCTGTTTTCCGCACGTGCGGCAGTGCTCTCGCACGTACGGCCATGACCCCCGCACGTGCGGCGATTCTGCCCAGTTTCAGTCCGAAATTCCAAGCAAAACCCAATTTTTTGGTAAGTATTTACAAGGCTCCAGATAGGTCCAAAAATCATGTAAATAGAACTTACAATCATATATCAATCTACATATGAATTGGATCTTTAATCCTTAGAACTCATAACATAACTCAATTCCATCATATTTCCAATTTCCTCACACATATATATACGCACATATAGCCATTTGTTTACATAGCCCATTACATAAATGAGTTTCTACATGAAGTAACAAGGAAACAAGATGCAATTTCTTCATATAGCTCAAATTAGTTCCCAAGACAACCATATGGTAAGTACAACTTTCCAATTAAACAATGATCACATACAACATTTCAAACATAAACCCTAGCTCACCCAAATGAAAGGGCATGCTTACTCAAATCCAAGAAAGAGTTTATTTAAGGTTAAATCTACATACCTTGAGCTTAAATTTCCATAATCTACATACCTTACACTTCAATTTGCAAATCTCTAACCTTCTTGATGCTCCACTCTCTCAATTCTTCTCTCCCTTAGTCTTTTTCCTTAGAAGCTATTTTGATTTTAAAAGGCTTTTTGATTAAATGGCCTAAGAGCTCATAAATATATTATAAAGGAGGAATAAGACAAAATCCAATCGTTTAATCATTCCCAAATCAAATTTCTGCAAATATGCTTATTATTACCTAAAAATTATGCCGTTTCCAAATACGAAGTCTGTTTCAGATTATCAAGTCTCTAAGACTCTCAATTTCTGATTTACCCATTCTAGGTGTGACAGATACTCTCATTGCTCAACAGATACATGTTAAATTCATGACATCTATGTACTTAAATTTAATTCCTCCTGAAATTTCACATTAAGTATTTGAAGGCTCAGAATAACAGACTAAAATATAGCACAGAAACATGTACGAGGGTCGGGTTATTACAGCTACCACCACCACCACCATGTCACCGTCACCACCACCACCACCACCACCACCACCACCACCATTGCAATCATGCCACTACCACCACTACTACTACTATCACCACCTTCATAACCATTCTCATTATTTTCATAAATACCACCATCATTTTACTATCATTATCATCACCAACGCCCGCGGGAAAGCCAACCAATTACTTTAGGAGGGCACACATTAATCACAAATTTAAAATTAAAAAAAAATCAATAATCAGCAACAACGGTATAATACAAATTTTTTAAATTATAGTGAACACAAAACATAAATATTTCTTAGAAGAAAAAAATACTTTGCAAAAATGTGAAAGTGCAAAAAATAATATTATAATGACTACGTTATTATATTATATTTACTTTATTATTAAAGTCTTAACACTAAACAAACAAATTGTCATGACACGAAACCGCTCCTAAAAGTTTGGATCATAACTGCCTAGTAATCACTTGATTACCTTCGGCCTCAAACAAACATGCAAAGTAATTATAATAATGGGGCCATAAACGGAAGCATACAACAAATGAAGAAATCCATTGAGCTGTGCCAATATGACTTAAATTATAAAGCTAACCACATAATACATTCAAATATTTACATGTACATGCAAAAAGATAAGTACCATAAGAAATTTATACATATCGTTTACAAACCCAAACCATAATAGGAAAAACAAAGGTACAAAATGGCCTCAGGCTCACATATTAACAGGTGTTCAGAACGACCTCAGGTACAATCACATCTTATCATGTCATTGATAGAACGACCTCAGGCCCACATATTATACAGAATGGCCTCGGGCCCACAGAACGACCTTAGGCCCAAACATATCATAGCATAAACGGAAACGGAAAGACCTTAGGTACACATTGCACATGTCATATAATATTTATGAAGTTCATTTATTTCGATCAACACACAATGTCGTCACAATTCACTGTTCATGGCTCAAGGTATACAAAAGAGAACATATATGTACAATATTATTACTCACAATGCACTTGAGTTTGCAGCGTCTCCTCTGTCACACAACCTACACAAACATTTCACACACACACACACACATTCGATAAATCATTTGTTCAATTCATACACTTATCTTTCATAATTCACAACCTTTTTTAATGAGTTTCTAATCATTATTTCACTCTCAAAAGGGTTTAAATAAGGTTGAGAATACATTCAGAAGGTCAGAAATATCAACACAAGGAAGCAGGGTTTTCTTCCCTGCTTGGCCACACATGCGACCGATCCAACCACTCTAGCAGTCTGGCACTGCTCGTGGGACGGTGGGAGTTGCCCGAGTGCGCATAATGGAATTCACCAATCGTGATCATGCTCCACTTGTGCGAAACCCATGGCCGCGCAAGTGGTCTGGGCAAAAACTAGACAGTTCGAAAATACACAAAAATGAAATCTTCCAAACTCATTTCCAATCCCAAATTTGTGCAAAACTAACCCAAAATCATGATATACTAGCATGATACAAGTGTAATTTCATTTCAAAGATATCAATCTTGCTCCAAATTTAGATTCATTGTCTCATCTTTTTATATATTAATAAATTACATACACAAGCTCAATATACCTACAAACATGATGAATCTTCCAACAAATCTTAGTTGTATGAACCCTCTAGAGTTTATTTGATAGATCAATCACAAGAATGAACTCAAATCAAATGAAGATGGAGAGATTAAGGTTCAATTTCATACATTTAGCTCAAACCATTACATTTCTGAAACCCTAACTCATAATTCCTCTTATTCTCTCTATAACTCACTCTCTAGAGCTCTCAACCCAAAAATGATGAACACAAGAGCTAGAGATATATAAATTAGGCTAATTAAACATTATGAATCATAATTTTTCAAAATTTCACCATAGGCTCGAAAAATCATGCTAATCACAGATATGAAGTCAGTTTTGGTTTATCACGCCTCTAAAGTTTTTAATTTTGTTCAAATTTTCAATTGCAACAGATATTCCTGCATTCAACAGATATTATTCTAAATTCACATAATTCATATACTTAAACTTTCAAATTCATATCAAACACATAATCACATGCATAATTAAGCATAGTACGAGTTGGGTTATCACAGTCTTTCCCCCTTTAGGAAGTTTGGTCCTCCAAACTTGTTTACCTCAAGTCATGAACAATTTTAGATATCGTTGCCTCATTTCTTCTTCCCATTCCCAAGTGGCTTCCTTTCCATAATGTTCCTTCCATTCGACTTTTACCATTGGGATAGTCGTGTTCCTTAACTACTTGACTTGCCGGTCAAGGATCCGAAAGCAATATGCTGATAATCAATAACATTAGAAGGATCCCGAAGGTAGCCTCGCAACTTTGATATGTGGAACACATTATGCACTTGCTCCATCCCCAGTGGTAAAGCAATCCGATAGCCAACCAACCCACTTGTTCTAAAATCTGAAATGGCCCTTTGTATCGAGGTGATAATTTCTCTTTTCTCCCAAATCTTGAGTGCCCGTTCATTGGAGTGACTTTAACAAAAACATGATCCCCAACTTCAAATTCTAAGTCTTTCATTCTTTGATCCGCATAGCTCTTTTGTCATCTTTGAGCAGTTTTCAATCTTTGTTGGATGATTTGGATCTTTGTCCGTAGTAACCTGCACAATTTCAGGCCCAATCAACGGTCCATCCCCAACTTCGGTCCAACAAATCGGAGTTCGACATTTTCTCTCATACAAAGTTTCATATGTTGCTATCCCAATATTGGAATGGAAACTGTTGTTATATGCAAATTCCGCCAAAGGTAGATGGATTTCTTAACTTTCACGAAAATCTACCACACACATCTGAAGCATGTCCTCCAACGTCTGTATAGTCCTTTCAAACTACCCGTTAATTTGTGGATGAAATGCGGTACTAAACCTTAATTTCGTCCACTATGCTTCTTGTAAGCTTTGCCAAAATCTTGATACAAACTTAGGGTCTCTATCCAACACAATGGAAACCAGAACACCATGCAATGAAAAAATCTTAGCAATGTACACAGTAGAAAATCTATCAGCATTATAAACAGTTTTCATAGGAAAAAAATGAGTAGACTTAGTCATTCAATCCACAACAACCTAGATAGAATCCATACCTCGGGGTGTTCGGGATAAGCCCACAATAAAATCCATAGTTATGTGCTCCCACTTCTATTCCGAAATAGGAAGAGGTTGAAGTAACCCCGCCAGTCTTTGGTGTTCAGCTTTTACTTGCTGACATTGAAGGCATCTTGAAATGAACTCCGCAATTTCTCTCTTCATATTGGGCTACCAAAAAGCATGCTTGAGATCTTGATACATTTTGGTATTTCCGGGATGCATAGAAAATCTGGACTTGTGAGCTTCTTCCAACACTCCTCCTTTAATTTCGGGGACATTTGGAACACACAATCTTCCCTTGAACTTCAACACTTGAGCTTCCAAAGAGAATCCCAGTCTTGGCTTTGTTCCCATTTCATCACATACTTTTTTGAGAAATTCATCCTCTAATTGCCTTTGTTTAATTTCTTCAATAATAGCCGGTTGTGCTGTTATTGCAGCTAACATTCGACCATGTTCATGTAACACAATTTCCACTTTCATTATTTCCAAGTCACATAATAACTCATTCCGCTCCATGAGCAAACATGCTAGACTTTCCACTGACTTCCTACTAAGAGCATCCTCTATCGTGTTGGCTTTGCCAGGATGATAATGAATCTGCAAGTCATAATCCTTGATAAGTTCTAACCACCATCTTTGTCGTATATTAAGCTTCTTTTGAGTGAAGAGATACTTGAGGCTCTTATGGTTGGTGTATACTTCACACTCTGCTCCATAAAGATAATGCCACCATATTTTCAATGTAAACACCACTGCAGCTAATTCCAAGTCATACGTAGGATAATTCTTTTTATGCGGCTTCAATTGTTGAGATGCATACGCAATGACTTTTCCATTCTGCATAAGTACACACCCTAATCCCTTATGAGAAGCATCACTATAAATAACAAACCCTTATGCACCTGACGGTAAGGCAAGGACCGGTGCTGTTGTGAGCCTTGTCTTCAATTCTTAAAAAGCAGACTCCCTCTGTTTTGTCCAGTCGAATGGAACACCTTTTTGAGTTAACTAGGTAAGTGGCACCGCATTCTTGGAGAAATCTTTAACAAATCTTTGATAGTAACCTGCTAAACCCATAAAATTACGCACTTCTATAACATTGGTAAGGGTAGGCCAATTCACAATAGTCTCTATTTTTTGCAGGTCAACAGACACACTATCCTTGTTAATCACATGCCCCCAAAACACAACTTCATTCAACCAAAATTCACATTTCTTCAATTTATCATATAACTTCTTGTCCCTAAGTGTTTGAAAAACTAATCTCAAGTGTTTTTCATGTTCCTCCCTACTCTTCGAATAAATAAGACTATCATCAATGAATACTACTGCAAACTCATCCAAATACAGTTTGAAAATCTGATTCATTAAATCCATAAAAGCATCTAGTGCATTGATAACCCCAAATGGCATGACTAGAAATTCATAATGGTTGTACCTGGTTCGGAAGGCAGTCTTCTCAGTATCCTCTTCTTTGACTTTCAACTAATGATACCCGAATCTCAAGTCAATCTTAGAAAACACTTGGACCCCCTATAATTGATCAAATAAATCATTGATCCGTGGTAGGGGATACTTATTCTTCACAGTTACCTTATTTAGTTCTCGATAATCAATACACAATTGAAGGGTCCCATCTTTCTTCTTTACAAACAAAATAGTTGCACTCTATGGTGATGTACTCGGTCGAATGAACGCTTTATCGAGAAACTCTTGCAATTGTACTTTCAATTCCTTAATTTCTGTTGTGGACATCCTATAAGGAGCTTTGGAAATTGGTTGAGTACCTGGCGCAATATCAATAACAAATTCAATCTCACAGTCTATCAAGTCCCCTGACAATTTCTCAAGAAATACATCCGGAAACTCATTAACAAATTGGAATATTTTCAACACTCACATCGGTTGTCTCTACATGCAAAAGGCTACATAAATAACCCTTACAACCTTTCTGAAGTAGTTTGCAAGCTTTAATAGCCGATATTAAATAGGGTGGAGGGACTACCCCATGTCCCACAAAAGTAAACTCATTTTGTCCCTTTGGGCGGAAAACAACTTGTTTAGACACACAATCAATAGTTGCATGATACTTAGTTAACCAATACATTCCCAAAATTATATCAAAGTGTACCATATCAAGAGGCATCAAATTAGCACATAATGGAATATCTCCAATTAAAAGCTCACATGTACGATATATAGAAGCACATAACATATAGTCCCCAGATGGCAAGGACACACACAACACATAATTCAACAGTTCCATAGTTCTATTCAAATGAGGAGCAAATGTTTTTAAAACAAAGGAATGAGTGGAACCCGAATCAAGTAATACATGAGCAGGTTGACCATTGATAGAGAGTGTACCTGAAACCACAACATCCGAATTCTGAACATCACTCGAAAGAAGAGGAAAAACTCTTCCTTGCCTAACATTGTCTCTAGTAGTAGTAGGCTTTGCTGGGGTCTTTGTTGCAAGAGTGGAATCAGTTGAACTAGCAGTTGGCTTATTCCCCTTTTGATGCCCAAACATAGGACAATCTCTCATCATATGTCACGTTTTCCCACATTTAAAGCAAGCCCCGATTGCTCGGTAGCAAACTTCTCGATGCTTTTTTCCACACTCCGGGTGAGTTGGTGTTGAATCACGGGTAAAACCAAAAGCACTGGAAGTTCCCAAATTCTATTTCTTGTTTTGTGAGGATGCCGACCCCATGTGAATATTAGAACCCTCATTTTTCCCTTCCAACCCAAGTACCGGTTGCAATTGGCCTAGTTACCTTCTACTATGATGGGGCTATCCAATGCATCCACGTATTTCTATACCTTCAACATATTAATCTTCTCAAGAATGGAGTCTAGGAGTCCTCCCTCAAATTTCCTTTCCTTTTTGTAGTCCATATCGACCATATGCAGTGCAAAACAGAGTAGCTCAGTAAACTGTGCCTCATACTCCGCTACGGTTTTGTTTCCTTGCTTCATGTTTTCAAACTCTAATACCTTCCTGTCTTGGATACACTGTGGGAAGTACTTCTCATAAAAGATCTCCAAAAATTTACCCCAATTCATTCCTTGATGTTCATCTCGAATAAGCATCCACCAATGGTGTGGTTTATCCTCAAGTGTAAAAGTAGCAAGCAAGCCTTTCTGTGCCTCCGTACATGGGAAGACTTCAAACAAATTTTCTATACCAAGCACCCATGCCTCCGCCTTCAGTGGATCAATTCCACATTTGAACAATGGCAGTTTCATCTTTTTAAATTCCCTTGTGAGTGCAATAGTTCGATTGTCAGCTTGGTGGTGGCACACGCATTGATGGCGGCGGTGGTTGTTGTTGTTGTTGTTGTTGTGGTCGTTGTCGTCTAAAAGCCTCTGCCATGTCCATGATCATTGCCTTCATTCTATCAAGTTGTGTGGAGGTTGAATCCTCCCCATCTTCCGCCCTTGTTCTCACTGTGATCTAGAGGAACATACATTATAACTTTCACAGAAAATATGCACATAAATCACATTTGCAAATGTACATTTTTGTGTCATACCTGATTAATAATTCATTATGGATGCAACGTAAACCTTTTCTAGACTTCTTATTACTTAAATGGACTTGTGTGTGAGATATTAACCCGTGTTGTGGTACCATTCTGTCATGACTTGAACCAGCTCCTAAAAGTTTGGATCGTAACTGGCCAGTAATCACTTGATTACCTTCGGGCTCAAACAAACATATAGAGTAATTATAATAATGGGGCCATAAACGGAAGGATACAACAAATGAAGAAGTCCATTGAGCTGTGCCAATATGAGTTAAATTATAAAGCTAACCTCACAACACATTCAAACATTTACATGCCCATGCAAAAAGATAAGTACCATAGGAAATTTATACATATCGCTTACAAACCCAGACCATAATAGCAAAAACAAAATAAAGTCAAAGTATAATGCGAGTCAAAGACAAAACTCCATCTCGGAGGCATGACTTGATAGGGTCACGAAAATAGCTCCTGAAGCTGACTCTAAGGATAGGTTCCATGTTGTAGCTCACCTACATGTGCACACATAATGTTGGGTTAGCGAAAATCAATGACTAATAATACAATAAAGTAGTGTAAATAAATGAACATAAGGTTCTCACAATTTCATAGTCATAATACGGAACGACCTTGTTCCCATCATATAAGTGGAACGACCTTAGGCCCATTATATAAACAGAATGCCCACCATATCAGAACGGCCTTAGGCCCAAAAAGGTACAAAACGGCCTCAGGCCCACATATTAACAGCTGTTTAGAACGACCTCAGGTCTAATCACATCTTATCATGTCATTAACAGAACGACCTCGGGCCCACATATTATACAGAATGGCCTCGGACCCACAGAACGGCCTTGGGCCCAAACATATCATAGCATAAATGAAAACGAAATGACCTTAGATCCACATTGCACATGTCATAGAATATTTATGAAGTTCATTCATTTCGATCAAAACATAATGTCGGTGCAATTCACCATTCATGGCTCAAGGTACACAAAAGAGAACATATATGTGCAATATTATTACTTATAGTGCGTTTGAGTTTGCGGCGTCTCCTCTGTCACACGACCTACACAAACATTTCACACACATACATTCGATAAATCATTTGTTTCAATTAGTACACTTATCTTTCATAATTCACAACCTTCTTTAATGAGTTTCTAATCATTATTTCACTCCCAAAAGGGCTTAAATAAGGTTGAGAATGCGTTCAGAAGGTCGAGAATATTGACACAAGAAAACAGGGTTTTCTCTATTGCTTGGCAGCATGTCCGGCCGGTCCTACCGCCCGAGCGGTTTGGCTCCGCTGGTGCGGAGATGCGAGCCGCTCGAGTGCACAGAATGGAATTCACTAATCGTGATCATGCTTTGCCTGTGTGGAGCCCATGGCCACACGAGTGGTCTAGGCAAAAACCAAACAGTCCAAAAACGTACAAAAATGAAATTTTGCAAACTCATTTTCAACCCCAAATTCATGCAAAACGAACCCAAAAACGTGATATACTAGCATGATACAAGTGTAATTTCATTTCAAACATATCAATTTTGCTCCAACTTTAGATTCATGGTCTTATCTTTTCATATATTTATAAATTACATACACAAGCTCAATATACCTACAAACATGGTGAATCTTCCAACAAATCTTGGTTGTATGAACCCTCTAGAGTCTATTTCGTGGGATCAATCACAAGAATGAACTCAAATCAAATGAAGATGGAGAGATTAAGGTTCAATTTCATACATTTAGCTCTGACCGTTACATATCTCAAACCCAAACTCATAATTCCTAATTTCCTCTTAATTTCAAACAAAAGATGAGATATATACAAAGATTATAAGTAAATTATCATACCTTAGTACAAATCTAGGGTTAGCCCCTTGAATCTCTTCCAAATCCGTAGCCCTTCCCTTTCCTCTCTCTTTAACTCACTCTGTAGAGGTTTCAACCCAAAAATGATGAACACAAGTGTGGACTCGCCTTTTTCGCACCCCCTTTCGAAAGGTTTGAAATGAATGCCTCACAGTTCGAACCCCTGTGGTTCTGAATCTAATCTCACAAGTGCAATGTGAAACTGATAATCACCAAAGAGTCTAAATTCGACAAATCTTTTGAAAAATTAATTTTAGGATCAAAAATGCCAAAATTGGACTGCTTTGCCAGATACAAAGCCTCCACCTAAATATTTTATTTTGGAAAAATTTAGGAAACCCATGACTCATGCTAAAGGCCACGTGTCCGTCATTACCAAAGTTGCCTCGGCTTAGGAACTTAGGTACGAGAGGGGAAGGTCATGAATTGAGCACCCCTGCTCGCCCGATCAAAGGTCAGCCTCTACTAATCATGATATGATTTTTTTATAAACATTATATGTTCGTATTCCAATTATTTAGCTAGCTTTACTATGCGATGCGCACAAGCAAATATAGACTAGTTTGCTCAATTTGGAACAATTCAACTAATGTTTGTTTGCGGAAATGGTTTGAATTTGCCACCTCAAGTGGGCTGAAAACATGATTTGCCACTTAACAAAGTGGGCTTAAAACATACATTTATTGAATCGTTCCAATTCAAGCAACGAGCCTTCATCCACAGGCATTTAAGCAGTTAAGCATTTAGCCACATGGCAAGCATACTAAACATGGCAACATTCACATTCATGCGAGTATGCTAAAGCGTAAAAACTCACCTAGTACTCCGAGCTAAGAAAACATGAGTTTAGAAAAAACATGCATGATTCTTAACTATACAAGATGCCTAATGCAACATATACAGTATGCAATTAATGGGCTCGACTACTACTATAGCCTATGGATTGATTTGAACAACATGCGATTAAACACGTATTCAAATAAGTATATTGAAATGACAATGGAGTATGAATGATGCGCCGAGCCTCGGTACATGCGATACAAGATGAATGGATACAAGCATGCGATATGCTAATTGAAATATGTCCCTAATCTAACCATCGAAAACGATAAATAAAAGGGAGAAAGACATGGGGTTGGAAGACATACACACACGCACGCACACTTATTACAACATTATGCCCTCGCGAAGGAGGGTCCGAATGAATAAGAGCTAAGCCAATCTAAGCTAAGCTAATCTAATTAAGCTAATTCGACTAATTATTACAACACTTTAACTAACTGGCAAACTAATTAATTAATTTACAACACAAATGTACACGAACTAAGCAATTAAGACATTAAATTATGCTGCCACTGCTCCGCCTCAGGAAGTGGAAGATGCACATGCTTGGTTTTGGCCCGAAAAGACCTTTGTTTTGCTCTCGAAAGCCTTTGTTTGCAGGGTTGAGCATTTCCAGAACCTTTCTGCTTCACCTTACAAAATCTTTGCTGAGATTTACATCAGTGGCCTTCTGGCCATGGAGGGAAGCTTCCAGCCACCTATGGTGCATTGCCGGCCATGGATGGTGGCCTATTGGCCGCTGATGTATTGGATCACCATGCTATAACAGAGCACAAGTAGAGCAAAAATGGGGTTTTTCTAAGGGTTGTCCGCATAATTCACCTCTCACTTTAGGGACAAATCTATGGAATTGTGAACTTAAATCTCAAACCACCAATCAAAGCAATTTCATTGCATATGATGGCTTGTGCTTCAAGGTGTGCAAGCTTAATAAATGCAAAGCCAAACACTCAAGAACCGTCACCCTATCATGCATGATCAAGGGCAATGGAGACCTAGGAAAATGGCACATTTCATTACTTTTGAGTATGAAATGTCCCATTTTCCTTGCGCTCAAACTAACGTCCGATTTGAGCATATGCAATGCAACACAAAGAGATGTTTATCTTGCCTCTTTTACTTGTCAACTTTGTTTACACATTTTAATTACTAAATCATTCTTTAATCAATTTGTCCATTGGTGAGTATCCTCTAAGGTGAAGGAAGTGTCAACCAAGGGATAATGTAAGACGAGGGAGATCATGCCTCTAATAATGAACCCTCAAAGAGGATTAAACCATTGAGCATGACCTCAATCTCAAGCTTAAACAATCCCGAGTTTGAAACAACCCTCAAAAGCAAATGAAAGAGTGAAGCAAAGAGGAAGGTTGCAGAGATTTAGGTACTGAAACTGAGTGATAAAAGCACTAAAAACATGTAGCCAAGTCACACATATGATGTTTAAAACCTTAAAACAACAAGCTAGTGCAAAGATTTACACTACAACTACACAAAACAAAGTTCAAATGAACCAACCAGCCCAAAATAGAGCTAAAGCAGGCTATTTCAGAGGCTAAAACATGCTGGACTTAAGCTAAGTTAAGCTAGAAAAACATGCTAACATGTAAGGTTAACTAAGCATGGAAATAAGACACAAGGAGGGGAGGCTAACCCCTCCAATTTTAGACTTCAAAATGAGATTTTTCCTCTGAAAAACCTATGAGATTCAGTAGTTAAAAGGCCTAAAAAGGTTGGTTTGAAAGTGATGGATAAAGGCACAAAAGCTTTATAAACTAAGAAACAAGAAGGGTGAACCACTCCCTAACTAAAAAAGGACTCAAACCACCATTTTTAAACCACAAAAACAGAGCTTTTTACAGTTCAAAACCAGCCCCAAAAACAATTGAAAAAGATAGAAAATCGAGTATTGAAAAAGAGATAACAAGACTAGTATTCTACCTCTTGAAGCAAAGAACACTTTAGGCTCAAGTTCAAGCCAAAACCACCTTCAAGAGCTC